GACAAAAGATTCAAACCCCAGCTAACTTTTAAAGTTTTTTGGATAGAATGTCTTTCCCTAATTAAAACAACAATACGACTATGTATGTGACATTTCTTTCAGTATAATGCATTATGCAAGGAACACGTTTGCACGCAACACATTTTTGGACACGATATTTCCCACCACAAGAAAAGCCGGTACGGCGGTTCGACCTGAGATTGGCCAGAGAGTCAGGCTAAGTCCAGGAGACATTCGACAAGCTAATAAGCTTTATAAATGTCCAAGTAAGTTCAACAACTCCATTTTTTTATAAACTTTAACACGGCTTGTAGAGGGTTAACGTGGACAGGGTAACACTGATTGTAGAGCGTTTAAACGGACATTTAACACGGCTTGTATAGTATAATGTTAGCGTGGACATTTAACACGGCTTGTATAGTATAATGTTAGCGTGGACATTTAACACGGCTTGTATAATGTTAGCGCGGACATTTAACACGGCTTGTATAATGTTAGCGTGGACATTTAACACGGCTTGTATAATATTAGCGCGGACATTTAACACGGCTTGTATAATGTTAGCGTGGATATTTAACACGGCTTGTATAATGTTAGCGCGGACATTTAACACGGCTTGTATAATGTTAGCGTGGATATTTAACACGGCTTGTATAATGTTAGCGTGGACATTTAACACGGCTTGTATAATGTTAGCGTGGACATTTAACACAGCTTGTATAATGTTAATGTAGACATTTAACACGGCTTGTATAATGTTAGCGCGGACATTTAACACGGCTTGTTGAATGGTTAGCATAAACAGATCCATTAAACCAGTGGTTCCCAAACTTTTTCGAGTGGCCACCTTTTTATAAAAAGTAAGTGAACCGCGACCCCAATAAAATTAAAAAGCCGAAATTAGTATGGACATTAATAAGGACTAAAATAAGATTTTCTAGAAGAAATTCAATATGAGCTACTCTTGATAACTGTTTCAATACGATGAGTAAAATTGCATGCTATTTACTAAACATTCGCGGTTAAGTTATTGTTAACGCCAACCTATGTCATTATCAACATTAAATGTATATCTTAATTTTGTTTTTAATCGGAGAATAGTGTTGAAAATCTATTCACGATCCACACTGCAGAGTTTCTCACGTTTACCATATTTCCAAGATTTATTTTCTTCGCCAATTCTGCAGCTTTGATATAAATGCCCCGAGATTATCATGGAAAGTGATAATATTCGTTCATTTTTCCTGAAGCTTCAGGTTAAGCATATGTTGATGTTCGAATGTATTTCTCCAACCACTCTATGTCGTTTTAAGTATACCAAAACGTCTTGTTTTCTTTGCACTTCCAAGAACAATTTGATTTCAAATTTCAATTCAAAACACGATTCGCAACAATTCGTTTGACAGCCAGCGCACTGTAGTGTAGAAAAGCAGAACCTCGTGATCTATATTAATGTCTTTGCACAGTTTTTTTAAGGTTCCAGATTTAATATAATGTACGACTTTTACTCGCAATGGATTTTTCATGGAGAGGGCATACTGGTGAATCATGCAGTGGTTAGGGAGCTATATCTTTTCTGTTTTCTGAAAGCCCGATTTTGACCTAAACATAGATAGTGCACCATCCGTACAAACCCCCACTGCCATTTTAACTCATTTTAGTCATCAAATTAAAAAAAAAAACTTATTTATTTTCTCTATGCTATCTTCACAAAATAGCAACTCTTTTTTGCTATCATCTGAATGAATATAGACAAAGACCAGCAACTGCGAACACGAACTCACGTCTGTTGATTTGTCAAATTGAAAAGCAAACAATGGTGAACGCTTGATTTCATTAAAAATTTGTTATTTAACATCTACGGACATGTCTGCTATAAGCTGCTGAATAGTATTATTAGGCAGAGATATTTGTTGCACTTTTATTGCACTGGAATCCCCAAGAATTAAATTCACCATCATCAACATGCAGCGTGTAATGAGATTTTCTCCTACTGTGTTTTTTTTTTTTTGCTTGGCATTTTCTATTACGACTTCATTTGATGATTGCACTAATGCTGTGTTTCCTTGGAGAAAACTTCCTATTCGATCAAGTCTCTGACGTTTGCAACCAGCTTCATGCCGACGAAAGAACTACATATCTTTTTTGGTGTGTTCAGAATGACTTGTCTCAAATGACGTTTTAGATTTGAAGATTTCATAAGCTAGTGACTGAGAACAACTTTATACAGTACTCATTGCTCCTTCTCTATTCCATTTCCAGTTATGTTAGTAGAGCCGAATTTCAGATATTCTTCTAAATATTTATGTTTTGTTTCTCGTTAATAAGGTTTAATATACCAGTTGGCGACCCCCAGAAAGCCCTTTGCGACCCCCTTGAACATGAACTTGAACATGAACATGAATACAAACACGCACACGCACACGCACACGAACATAAACATAAACATAAACATAAACATGAACATGAACATGAACATGAACATGAACATGAACATGAA